AGGGAAATCGGGTGACACAAACATGCGTTTCATTTTTTAATAAAAATGAAACGCATTCTTTTTTTAAAATTTTTAAACATGTATAAAAAACAAAAAAAAATAAATATCATTTAAAAAAATAAAAAAATGAATCGAGTTGACAGCATCATTAGAAAAATTCATAACAGTTGCGCTGTTTGCGCATTAGATGAAATAGCCAAAAGATATCAATCTCAAGAAAACAAATCCGGAAACTCTTCACCTTCATCTCTAATTATAGACGAGGAACATTATAAAGACGCATCTTCAAATGATTTTCTTGAAAATATTTTAAATTCAAAAAGAATCACATTAAATTCTTATTCTATTGAAAAATGCTTTAAAAACAGTAAATTTAAAAATTTACTCGACCAGCCACAACTATGTCAATTTCACTTGAATAAGTTTGACAATATGAAAAAAGATCATCTTGACGAAAATGTTATAGCTGATTATTACAAATCTAAACTTAAAGTTTTTTTACTCGAAAGAGATATTAAACCTATTGTTCCATTTGAAGGTGATCAAACAGACGGATTCATCGATACTTTTACAGCAAAAATATTACCTACCGCTTCAACCATCATAGAAAAACTGGATGGAGTTTTAAAAAAGAAATCTGTTAAAAGAAACATTGAAGGAATCATAAAAGACGGCACGTCCGATAAAAAAACATTATTTGTTAATATTTTACACGCTATTGTAACATTATTTATTTCAAGTTTTTTTAGTTTAGAAAAAGAAGAATAAATGTGTACTAACGAATCTTTGTCTAGTTATTTTAGAAATGAACCCTTTTTGAAAGATTATTTTATAGGTGTTTACGCTTTTGACGAATTGAGTCAAACTCAAACGCACGTAAACATTATTAGGCGAATGGTAAAAAATGGTTCTTTTTTTATTTATAATAACGAAACTATCAAACAAAATGGAGAACATTGGAGACTTTTACTCAAATTAGACGCTAATCATTTTTTTTGTTTTGACAGTTTAGGTACTGAAAGCTGTTTAAAACAAATTCCACTTTTTTTAAGAAGCAATAGACATTTGTTTGAATCTGTAGAAGAAATACAAACTAACATACAAATAAACACTCTAAACATTAATTATAATGAGATTGAAATAAGTTCTTACATACGACAAACTAATCACTTTCCTTACGAATGGACAGCCGATAACCATGAATTTTATTGGTTTACAAAATTTGTATTAAAATATAGTTCAATGACGGGTCAACAAACTATTTTGTTTTCTTATAACAAAACTTGTTTCCAATGGGAAAACAGTAGTTTGTGCGGAGCTTTTGCCGCTTATTTTATATCCTTGTTACCAAACTATCTTATTAACGGTCAAATTCATTTACCTTTGTTGTGCAGATTACTGAACTATCACTTCTATGAAGTTTCATCTCTTCATGCTTCCGAACTAGCTCAAATAAATTTGCTTCCATTTTTTCACTTTGTTAGAACTAAATTATTTAAACACTTGGATGCTACTGCTAAACAACTTTTTGAAAAAGACATGAAACTACATCTCTATTTAAGAAAAACTGAGAGACTGGTACGCAATAATGTATCAATGAAAACAATGAAAATTCCTATAGAAAATGACATTTTTAAAAATGAAGTCATGAGCAATAACAAGATTAGAAGCTTTTTAAAAGATGCTAGATTATTAAGAACTAACAATGAATGTCAATGGGATAAAATATCTATTCAAGATATCAATGTTATTAGAGATGTTATGAACGAAGAAAACCTTGCTTTAAAACGTTACGAAAATATGAACGATATGTATTTTTTCGATTACAGAAGATTAAAAGATATAAATAATTTTATTGACGTACCTCAAGATGATGTCATGACAAAAAAAGAAATAAAAACTCTCTTTGTTCAAAATTTAATATAATAAAATGTCAACAAGTATACAGAAAGCAGCTTTATGCAAAATTAGAGAAAAAGTTATAGAAGAAATTTGTGAATCGTGCGCTGGAAACGGACTATTATATATCGTTAATTTGCAAGATCCGAAATTGATAAATTATTTAAAAGAATGTACGAGCACCGTTTTTAACAATGAAGTTTGGCTTCTACATAAACCAACTCAAACAAAATTCGAAATAAAAACAAATAAACTACTATGTGATGTGTGTAAGGGAAAAAAAAAACTTTTATTAAAAAAACACAAGACACAAGAAAAGAAAATAAACTTTACATTGTATTTTAATTTTATTTAAAAAATAATTTTTTTACATTAATTTTATTTAATATACTTCAAAACTTTTATCCGCTGGTTTATATAAATTAACGGGTGGTTGAATTGCAACTGTTTTTGTTGTTACAGCAGGTGTTGATTTTTTCCCTTTCCATGCTTTTTTTAAACTGTATAATAATGAACCCACTTTTAAAACATTAGTTACATTTTGAGGTGTAACATAGTCTGATAAACCACGAGCGCGTTGTTTTCGTTTAACTTTACGAGCACGTCTTTTTTTTATTCGCATTCTTCTAACAACCATATTGATAATGAATCCTTTATAACTGATACAAAATCATCATATTTCATACTAAATACTTTTGTAACACTCATATCAAATACTTCGAATATAAAATCAATGTTAGCTATATCGTTTGAACGAGTTACTTTTATTTGATTGCTACCGTCCAAGCGAAAAAATAACTTGAAATTACCATTTACATCTTTCAAACTATCGTTTGTTTGTAAATTTTCCAAATCTTTAACATTATAAAATTGTAAAAGAGATTCTTTAAAAGCAGTTACGTCCATTTTTTTTAAATAAATCTAAAATTTTTTTTTTAAATAAACATTTTTTTCTTCTTTTATATATACCCTTTTAAAAAAATAAAAAAACAACAGTATTAAATATATTATTTTGTTATAGGTAATTCATAACCAATATATATATCGCCTTTATTTACATGTCTAATAGTATATAAACCAGAACGTACTTTATAATCAATAACAAATCCTCCTAAAAAAGTAGAAATGTCTGTATGTCCTTCTTTTTCATTTCCACTTATTATTTGACATATATAATCATTAAAATATTTAAAAGTTAATATATATTCGCCATAACTTGTTACATCGGCTCTTATGTTATTTAAAGAATATTCACCCATATCTTCAAGTAATAATTTATAAAACTCTAGATCATCTTTAATAATATTAAACGTATGCGTTAGTATAACAACTGATACAATGTTCTTTTCTGTGATATCTTTTATTAGCATGTTCGCAATAACTATGTTTAAACAAACAACCCTCATCTAACGACATTCTTTTTTAAACTAAATTATTTTTAAAGTTTATAAGTTATTTAAATAACTTGTTCACAGAATCAGCGAATGGATTACTTAAACCGCCTCTTAATCTTCTAAAAACGTTACCGCCACGGTGTTTTTTACCTTTATTAAAAAATTAATATTTTTTATTTAAATATATGTCAAACATGTAAACGTTTACAGTTTTTTTCCCTTAAAAAATCTCATTTTTTTAACTTGTAAAAAGCTTTAAAAAAAAACTTATATATTTTTTAAAAAATATTTTGTGTCACCCGACACTGTCCTTACTTAACCTGCCTTACCTTACTTGTTTTTCTTAGTAGGCCTACTTATTATTTTTACTCTGTTGTTTTTTACAACCGGTTGTTTGTATCTTACTTACTTACTTACTTAACCTTACTTACTTAGTCTATTATTTTTGCCTTACTTATGCCTGCTCACCCGTTCGTACATACACGCTCGTTCACACACGCTCAGGACTCACCGAAAGTATGAGCTCTCAGTGGGGACAATCATCAAGTAACAGTAGTAACACCGTAACTCAATGTGTTTTAACATATAGGACTCACCGAAAGTATGAGCTCTCAGTGGGGACAATCATCAAGTAACAGTAGTAACACCGTAACTCAATGTGGTTAACATATAACTAACTAAACTAACTAGACAGACGTCATCAAGCGTTTGCTCAATGTGTTTATACATATAATGTTAAAGCCGTAAAGTTATAGAGAGATTCGAACCCTGGACGATCGGTTCATGGCGGTTTTCAACATAGTGCGGAAATGATACGATGCACTATGCTACGTCGACGTGTTGTTTAAGCGTGTTTTGAATTCATTTAAATTGTCATTTTAACACTTTACGTAGAGATTTTTTTCTACACAGAGTTTTTTTTAAAGTTGTTTACGCACATTTTAAGGGAAATTCCCTGGGAAATTCCCTATATAATCCTGAGTAAATAGTAAGATTAAAAGTTTCTAAATATAACTTGTTTGTCACAAAAACTCTTTTGTTTTACTTAATCCATAAAGATTAAATATTTTTTGTATAAAAGCTGCATTTTTTTATCAAAAAATCAAATGGCGATTACAAAGAGAATTACAAAAAAAAATATGAAAAACATAGAAGTTATCGTTATTGATGAACAGGCGCTGGAATTTACTCCTGTAGACTTGACTGCAGAAGATTTTTTAAAAGAATTAGAAAAAAAAACAGTTAACGAAATTAAAAATGAAATTATGGAAAAAGGATCATCGGAACAAAACGTTCATTTACAAACTAAAAAAGTAAGATATTTTTATATAAAAAAATTATTCTTTTTTTAACTTGTTTTAACTTGTTAAAAAAATAATTTTTTTATTGTTTTAGAAAAAGAGCAAATACAAGCTCAAAAGAAATAGAGCGAGAAAAATAAAATTTTTGCAAAAGCAAATTCAAGACGGACTTGAATATTTAAAACAAAATTGTAACTAGTTTTTTTTGTAATTAGTTTTTTACAATAAAATATATTGTTTATTTCTTTTTTTTTTTTTTTAACGCTGCATTTCTTTCATGTTTTCGATTAACGTAAGCATCGTTTGATATTTTCCATCGTTTTACTTTTTTACCAACGCGTCCTAATTTACGATTAGATTTGTTATCTTTATATGTTTTTTTAGTTTTTCGTAAACATACTAATATATTTTTACAATTGCTTGGTATCCCTCTATTTTCTGTTTGCGTATGTTGCGAGTTTGTTGTAGTACGTACAAAATCAATTTGATTATTTAAATAATCGTCTACAGTTTTTTTTGATCTAGGCGTATATCTTGTGCGAGGCATTTTTTTAAAATATTTTTTGTTGTTAAAAAAAAAATATATTTATATAATAACATTTTTTTTTAATTTTTTTACAGATTTAATTATATAAAATAAAATGAGTGAAAATGAATTAACAAATATCTTGTCATTCTATCTTGAAGCCTATTGGCAACAATTTGCTAATTATTTAAACATGCATCGCTGTGTTATTGATGCCATTGATAACGATTACAATAGAAGTTATTTAAAAATATGTCGAGTCATTACGCTATTTTTTCAAGTTAATCCTGAAGAAAAAACTAATCCGCAATTTATATTAAAAACATTACAAAGATGGTTGATTGACGAACAACAAAAAAACAATTTTAAATTAATAAACAATTTAAACGAATTAATTATTAAAGTTAAAAACTGTACTATTGAACCCATGGAATATTAGTTTTGTATATTATTGTATAACATGTTGTAATTTTTTTAGATTAATTAAAAAAACAAAAAAAATGGAAAGCCAAATGGAAACCATTTACGCCGATGAAAATAAAGCCATCTACAAATATGGCAAACCGTCTGCACAATTAGAATTTGTAAAACCATATGAGGCCATGTTTGTAGATGGCGACTCGATTTTTAATTTAAAAAACATCGACATAGTCGACGAAAAAGAAGACTACGAGTTGGATGATGACGATGAATACGATGATGATGATGACGAATATAATGATGATGACGATGAATACGATGATGATGATGACGAATATAATGATGATGATGATGAATATAATGATGATGGTGATAAAGAAAACGAACCTATGGAAATAGACAATTGACTTTTTTTTAAATTATTTTGTATTTTTTTATTTTTAATGTTCCTTTAGTTTTGAGTGTATTGAGAAATGTATTTTCTCAAAGCAGCCAAAACTAAAGGTATAAAAAATAAAAAAAAACAATGGAATGGAACTTTTATATTTTTAATGTCCCTTTAGTTTTGAGTGTTTTAATAAATTTATTTTCTTAAAGCAGCCAAAACTAAAGGTATAAAAAATAAAAAAAAACAATGGAATGGAACTTTTTTAATGTCCCTTTAGTTTTGAGCTTATTAAGAAAAATTTATTTTTCTCAATAAAGCCAAAACTAAAGGTATAAATAAACAATGGAAGAGAACACTTTTGTTTTGTTTACAATTATTATGAATATGAGATTACTTTTTCTTTTCAATAGATAAAGCAATTTCGTATTCATAACAATGTAACATATTTTACTGAACAGCTGTCATTGCAATCGATATATATTAAAAATAATAATTTGTATTTTTTTACTTTTATTAATAAATATTTTTTTTCATATTGTTTTTTTATACTATGTTAACCCTATTTGACTATAATTTTACCTGTAATATTACATAATTTTACCCATAATATTTAAAAAAAAAATTTTATATTAATTTAATACTTTTTTTAAGCAACTAATTATACCAAAAAAAATGGCTGAAGCTATGGAAAAAGAATTATGTTATTATTGCAAGCTACCCTTTACTATTGATCAATTACTAAATCATCAATTAAAATGTAACACATCACAAGATTATGATTGTTTTAGCTGCGGAAAAAAAATTAAATTGTCAGATACTTGGGAACATGAATGTGAAATTTATCACGAGGAACGCGTAGAAAGAAATCAAACTAAATTATGTGTGTTTTGTGGAAATCAAATTCAAAAAAACTACTATGATCAACACGCTATTGATTGTTTACATCGTTTTGAAAATGAATGGAAAGAAGTAATGGAAAAACAAAAAAATATTATTATGGATCAAAAACAAAGTTTAACTTTTTTAAACATGACTAATAATAACATTCTGAACAGTTTAGCAACTGTCAACAAACAAATAAACGCATTAACCAAACAAATGGACAACATGGGTTTGGAAATAAAAGAGTTTGTGAATAAAAACACATTTGAAAAAATATTGAACAACATCAGCTTGGAAATGAAAGAATTTGTGAATAAAAGCACATTTGAAAAAGAATTGAAACTATATGATAATATATTAAATTATAATAAAGATATCAACGACAAATTCATGTCTGATAATTTAATTATAGAATTGGACCAAATGGATTTAAGATTGCAATCTAACGAAGCTTATCATACTCAACCTTCGTATACTGTAGACGGTTATTTCTACCGATTTAAAATTTTTGGTTACAGTAATCAAGAAGATAAAATGGGTATTTATTTTCAATTGATACAGTCTCCAAAAGATCATTCTTTAAAATGGCCATTTATGAAAACTGTAACATGTACAGTTAAAAACGAATATATTGAAAACACAAAAATAATAGCCAATTATAGCGAACCGTTAAAAGAATGTTTTGAAAAACCTGCTCAAGCTTATAACCGAGCTATTGGAACAGATAGTTTTGCAACGCACGAACAATTAAAAAGACATTATATAAAAAACAATAAACTTATTATACACGTTTCTTTTATATAATTTATTATGTATTTTGTTTTGTATTTAATTATTCATATAATTAATAAACTTATTATACACGTTTCTTTTATATAATGTATTTTTTATATTATATATTTTTTTTTTATGTTATTTTTTTTTTAGAATAATAAAAAAAATGAACAGTTCAATCATGAGAGATTTAGCTGACTACATCACTACGTCTGATGTAAAAAAATTAAAAATGTTTTTAGAAATACCGTACGGAATAAGAGAGAAAATTAAAGACGGACTAGATTTAATGGAATATCTACAATACAAAGATTTCGTGTATCAAAACTATGAATACAATACTAACGAAGCTAAAATCAAACTTATTTTAAATTTGTTAAATGAAATCGGTAGAAAGGATATCTATAAAAAGTTTATAGTTAAATTTGAAAATCCGCCATCATACGAAGAAAGTATAAATCCTCCACCGTATGCAGAACTGGATAATCGAGACAGATCCAATATAGATTTTCCAAACTTTAAAGTAGCAGATCCATTTTTGGCAATAAACGCAAAATGTAATACTCCGTCGTATTATCCGCCTGAAGTTATTTGTTTAAAACAAAAAGAACTTTTGAACTATTATAATAAAAAATAATTTTTTTAAAAAAATTTTTTATGTCCTTTTTTTTTTAATTTGTATATATAAACTTTTTGTAAATACTTATTATATAAATTGTTTTTTCTGCTACTAAGCAACATAATTTAGTCATGAAATCTTTTTTTAATATTTATATGGAATGTATAGATTGGTTATTTAAACAACATGAATATGTTATTAATCTTTATTTTAAACCTAATAGAAACGACATGTATGATTTTATTTAACTTTTTATTTTAGAATAAAAAAAATGAAACTAATTACTGGAGACGATCAAGACTTTTTATTTTTTAACAGAGAAGAATCCGATATAATGACAAAATTTTTAAATGTGGAACATGAAAAGATTAATGATCCATCAACATTAAAAGCGTTTGGCAATATATTATTAATGGTACAAGAAGAAGTTTTAAAACAAACAAACTATTTTAAAAACATTGAGAAAACAGAAGAAATTAAACGAGACTTTCATAATTTTGTAAAACAAGTATTATCAAAATAAATTTTTTTTTATTTTTTTTTAGATTCATAACAAAAAAAATGAAACTTGTTAAAAATGATCAAATCAGATTTGTTAGTTACAACCCTCAAGAAGCAAGAATACTAATAAACATAGCAGAAGACCGATACGGATCCGATAGTTGTAGAGTGTTGGCAGAATTTTATCGTATTGGTGTTATTATAGACGAAGAAATTCAAAAACGTACGAACAATTTTACAAATAAAGAACTCTTTGAAAATATCAATAACAGTTTTGAAAACTTTGTTAAAAGTTTATTATGAGAATAAAAACAAAATTTTACATTAATAAATTTTTTCATTTAATATATTGTCTCTTTCCTTTTTTATAATATGATAACATTCCAATACATCTTTTTGCAAATATAATCCTCCAACTAATCCTTTACAATAATAACACAATTGTTGAACTATTATTTTTAAACTATTTACATAGTTTATTTTTTTATACAATTTATCTATACACGTAAAATAATAATAAAATGTTTTTAACACATCAAGACAATGTTCAATGACTTCACTATAATTATGAAAACACGTGTCAGGATAAAATACGCGATGCGGAAGACATTTAAATAGCAAATCAAGAACTTCTATCAACTCTTTTTGATATGTCTTTATCAATTTTAAATCTTTAATATAAAAACCGTATACTCTTTTACAACTATCCAATTCGCTTTCTTCAGCTAAAAGAACTTTATCCATCCAAACACCTTGATTTAAATGCGTTTCCTGTAAATGTTTTTTTAAATCTAAATTAAGTTGATATAAATATAACAAACAATCGTCCGTCGCATCAAAAGACATTTTGATAAATGAATTTTTTATTTACATATATACAATTTATTTACAAATATATTTTTATATACAATAACAACAACCGCGGCACCGCTCAAATAAATCTTGTATGTACGGGCACACGGTTGTTGCGCAACAATGATTATGTTCGCTCTCTTCGCCTTTACATAAACAACATCCAAAACAAACCACTCGTCTAGTTGTTGAATCTCCATTTAGTGAAAAATATCGTTCATTTCGATTCATTATGCCGTCGTTTAAATGACGATCAATACGAATCATAATACCATCGAGTATGCGAACTTGTTCTAAAAAAATTATTTTAAACTAAATATTTTTTAAAAAAAAATTATTATAAAAAAATTTTTTTTAATTTACCATCGTCTATTTCTGGAATATCGTCGTAGATTTCCAATTGGTCTTCGTATGTTTCCTCATCTGATTCCTCAAGTGGTCTTGTTTCAACCACTTGAGGTACATAATTTTGAGGCGCTTTATAAGCATTTTCGGGCACATAGGGTTTAACAACCTAGAAAAAATACACATCCATTTTAAAAAAATACAAAACATTTATTTTAAAAAAAGAAAACAATAAACTTACAGCTACAGGTTTGACAAATAATTGACGTTTGACTTTTATTTTTTTACTTTCTTCAATTTTTTTAACTTTACCCATTTTTTTATGTTGTAAGAAACAATTATATAATTTGATAAAATGCCTTTTTATATTTTTTATAACGAATATAATTAAAAAGCATTTGCTTTTTTTATATAATTTTTTTATAACGCTTGATTAACTTTAAACAAAAAAATTTAATCTTCTATATTTTAAAACATTATCGGATTATAACGTTATGACGTTATCGGATTATGACGTTAGTTATGACGAAGGTCGGGATGGAAGGTTGGGAGGAAAGTGAGTAAATCCTATATAGGTATATCATCAATCGAATGATATAAAAATGAAATTTTTTTTAGTTTATATACCCTATTTTAACAATAGAGATTAAAAAAAACAAGATCAAAACAAGTTTATATAAAAAAATTGTCAACGTGTCATTTAAATTTTTTATGACATCATATTTTACCTTATAAGGTAATATAATAGAAAAAATGTTAATTGTTACTAAATATAGAATTTTATTGTGTTATGTTATTAAAGGAACAAAATTTTTTTTCAGAATCATTCAAAACATCTCAAAAGATGAGTTTAGAAAGATTTAATACTATTTATGAAATTGCATATAATGAATTTAATAAATCATTTACAAGAATGATCGAATTACATGAAAAATGTTTAGAATTAATAAAAAAGGAAAAATGTCTTAATCAAGAAATAATAAATTGATTCATTGAAATTGAGGAAGAGAGAAAATTTTGTTGTATACATCCAAATAAAGAGTTGTTTTATTATTATAAAATAACAAAATTTTAATGGAATAATCTTGAATCAGGAAACTCAATTTCAAAAGAAGAAGAAACAAAATATTAACCATTAACGGAACTAGAAATGGAAAAATTGGATAAAGATGAATTAGCTTTGTTTTTTACGTGTCAAAAATGTCAAAAGTTAAATCGTTGTTTACACGATTGTTTTTGGTGTGAAGATAGAATGTGTTATTTATGTTTATTAGACCATTCACTGCAAACAATGATGAAATTTGATAAAAACAATTGTAGATTTAATTGTTTATTTGTAATAAAAATTTTTTTGAATTTTTTTCAGATTTTTTTTCAGTAAAAAAATGAACAAAAGTAAAGAAGCTTTGGATAATTTAACAAATTTGACATTATATGAAATAAGAACAAATAATTACAAAATGAATGACTCTTGCAGTTTAATGAATATAGATCAAGATGGTATTTAGATTGAAAGAGCTATTGAAAAAATTAAAGATGTAACAAATGTTAGAGAAGATTTAAAAAAGAGTTATACGACGTTCGTGATTATTTAGAATTATGTAAAACTATGAACGTTATGCTTCAAAATAAGTTATTTCATTATGAACGATTGTTGCAAAATAATGATAAATTTTTAAAATGTTATTATTATCAAATTTATTATTTAAAAAGTGTGTTTATTATTATCCTAACGATTTTTTTCAGTGTTATTGTCCAACATGTAAACCATTATACGGTTGTTAATAAAATTGATTTTTTTTATAGATGAAAACAGTAAAATAAATAGATTCTAAAGGTTGGTCTTTATAGGCTACCAAAGGAAGAGCTGCTTTTGATTTACGTAGTACCGAAAGAGAAATAATATTACCGTTTCAACGTAAATTAATTTCTACTGGTGTTTTTATATCACAAATGGATCGCAATCTTCAAGGTTGGATTACATCCAAGTCTGGTTTAGCTATACATAACGGTATAACAGTATTGAATTCACCTGGAATTGTCGATTCTGATAATAGAGACGAAATTCCTGTTATACTTTATAATTCGTCTATTGAAGCATTTACTGTTACTGCAGGACAATCTATTGCACAAATGACTTTTGAACCTGTTTTTTTTGCAGAAAGAATTTCATGGACTGTAGATAAAAATAAAAATTGACAAATGGAAATACAATCCATGTTGTCTGATAATGAAAGAAAGGGTGGTTTTGGTTCGACAGGACTTTAATATTTTTTTAAATAATTTTTTTTGTAATTTATTTTTTAGATGTCTATTAAATTTATTGAAATGGTTGAGAAAGTTCTTAATAATATGGAGAATGGTGACAATTTGATAAAAGACGTGGATAATAATGGTGATCAGTGTCAAAATGATCGATGTAAAATTGAATGTCATGACAATAAAACTGATTTCTGTTATCGAAAACAAGATGCAAGTGATAATCAAATAAAAATTGAAAAATCTAATTTAAATGAAGAAATAAAATAAGAATTAAGAAATTTAGATTTCAGAGTGAGTATTCTTGAAGAACCAACTGGTTTACCTGACGGCCAAAAGATCTTTGTGATTAAAGATATAGTGAAACGAATGAATTTTAATTCGAATGGATATTATTATATCATTATTCTGCACCGTTTTTTTATAAAAATTATAAAATGGCAATGAGAATTAATTTCAATGTTGATATCAATTTAAATGATGAAACATTTAAAAAATACATTGCGACTATATTGGTATATTTGTTGTTTTAATGTCTCACATTTATGATGCTGTTTTAAAATGGCCGTTTAGTAATAAAAGAGGAACTATATCATTATTGGGAGAGAAAAAATTTAAAAAATCGTTTATAACCAATGACAGTGTTTATTTTCAAAGACCTAATAAAGATCAAATGAATCCTGCTTTTGGATTTGGAAGATTTATAAAAAAAACTGATCTTTTAAATTACATGTAGAAGATTCTCTTTTTATTAAATGTAAAATTAATTAATTTCTTATTGTATTTTTTTGTAATCTTTTTAAGGTAACTAATAAAAAATGTTGAATAACATGATAGCAATATTGAAAGGAACTTAGTCGAATTTTTAAAAGGATTACATAATGAATATTCTATTGAAGAGAAAAAAAAATTAAATTCTTCTGTTTGTGATAATTTGAATAAAGATCAAGATAAATATATATACGATAAAAGTACTATCAATCTATATTTGAAAGTATGTACAAAGTTGATTATCAAATGTAATAAATCTATTGATTGTTAACAAAATAAAATAAAAAAAGAAAAAGAGTATCAAAAGGAAAGAAATGATTCGTTTATTGAATTTATAAAAAATGAAGACGATTGGCCGTGTTGAGCTAAAAAACAAAAATTAGAAAATTATGTACGAATTTCAATATCCGACATATAAAAAATATAAATTATATAAAAAATACAAAAATATATACGAATTTCAATATCCGACAAAAACAGAACAAGTTGAAATACTAAAAAAAAAAATACGTCGCGAATTATTTTGTTCAATTAATAAAATAGAGTTGATATTAATTTCGGATTCTTAACTATTTTGTAATATATTTTTATAAAATATTTTTTTAGATGACAAAGATAATAAAAAAATGTTAAAGAATAAAATTAAAAGATGAACATAATGAAGAATTGCAACAGTTACAACTATTTGCTGTTAGCGAAAGTTTTGATCGTGATCAATACAAACGTGTTAAAGAAACTTTTGAAAAATTTGAAAGAGATGTGCATATGCTCATGTATGAACATAATGTATCTGTTGAAAAACTTGAACTCTTACATTTATATGGCAACATTATATTAGACTTGTTTTATCAGTACAGTATAAATTGTATACAATTAACAAATTGTATAAAATTATAAGGAAAAAAATTAAATGTAATGAATAGAATAGGAAAATTGTTTAAGGATTTGTTACATCATGTTTTTAAAAAATGTCAATTTATTATATTTGAAGTTTAATAAAATTTATTATATTTAAATAAAATTTTTTAAGATAACTAATAATGTCAGATCCAATTTGTAAACCATCAGATCAAAAAAAACAAAAGATAGAAGAAATTGAAGTTCAAATAGAGCCAAAATTACTCGAAGAAATTCAAACTTTACAACAATTAGCTGATATTGATGATTATAATGAAATGATAGATTATAATGGTTTAATAAAAAGTTTTGAAACAAAGTATAAGAATTTATTACTTGGCAAATGTTATTATCTTAGCACGCTAAACCAAAAACGTATTTTCGATTTGCATCATAAATGTTTATTTGATTTATATCAAAAATTTAGTTTTTCTACTACAAGATTGTATCTTGAAATGAAAGAGTTACGAGATATTTGTTGTTCTAAAAAATGTTATAATAATGTATCTGTTGATTTTGTTGATCGAGTATGTAATATAAAAAAAGAATTTTTACCTGCTGAAGAAAAATGAAAATTAAAAAACAATTTAGCGTATAATAGATAGCTTGTAATTTGTAAATTACATAAAATGTTAATTAAATTTGATAATCAAGTTCATTAATTGAATGATGATTATATAAGTGATATAAAATATTTTGAGTGTGATATAAAATATTTTGAGTGACAAAAAAATATATAAAACTATGATTTTTATTATAAATGTAAAAAAAATATTTTTTAAGATTGAATTAACAGAAAAAAAAGTAAATGAATTAATGCAAAAATTTTTATTACTCAATGAAATTTGTCCGTTTACGTTGGAAGAATTGATTATTCGAGCTAAACAATTTCAGCCATTTGTATGTGAAGAATGTATATTAAAAGAAGAACATTTGTATAAAGACGGTCAGGATAATTATTTTGATAACGATATGTGGGATATTTTTTTTTCGATACGAATCTACGAGATCAGAAGAAATGTCTTATAATCATCAGTTTGTTGTAATGTTGACAGAAGGATTTTAAAAACATTTTTAACATACAATAAATCGTTTTTGACCACAAAACTTTATAATATTTTATGATTTTTTTAAAAATTATATATGGGTAAATGCTTTTGTTAAAGACGTTAACCACTTGAACAATGAAAATAAAAATAATAAAGATGATGATGACAGAAAATGTTATTATTGTAATTATCTTTATTAATTTGTAATTTTTTTTTTTCAGTTATAATGTATAGTAAAGAAAAACATGACAAAGATCTTCAAATATTTGGAAGGTGTATACGAATAAATACTGGTATACAAATAAACACCAATGAG